ATAGGGAGTCTGCCCTAGAGGAGTTCTTTCAGTCTGTTTTTGAGGAAATAAAAGTAAAGACCTGAAATGAGTTACCAAACCCTGTGTCAGGATGTAAGATGAAGTGGAAGCACTGTCAGCTTGTATAGGTCGGAAGGAAAGCAGCAGTGAATGAGACTGGTCGGGAGTGGGCTGAGAGAGGATACTGCTGGTGGGAGAAACAGCAGAGAGTGAAAAACAGTGTTTCCCCAACTTTAGTTATTTGCACACATCCTTCATGGTTTTTACCATATTACATATCTCCTGTGCTAATAACTACCTAGTATTTTTCTTCAAATTGACCTGCTAAAAAGAAAAAAAAAAGGCTAGGTACGATAGATTATCTCTGTGATCCCATCACTTTGGGAGGCCGAGGCAGAAGGATCGCTTGAGTCCCGGAGTTTGAGACCAGCCTGGGCAACATAGTGAGACCTCATCTCTACAAAAAATGAACAAAATTAGCTGGGCGTGGGGCACATGCCTGTAGTCCCAACTACTGGGGAGGCTGAGGTGGGAGGATTGCTGACCCTCGGTGGTCAAGGCTGCAGTGAGCTGAGATGATGCCAACTGCACTCCAGCATAAGTGACAGAGCAAGACCCTGTCTCAAAAAAGAAAAAAAAAAAAAAAAACTAAAATAACATTTTAAAAGGGAACCAATAGTGAGCCCAGAATCACCACTGAAAATGGAAATCCAGTGTCGTCACTTGATGTACATAGAAGGTAACTATAAATAGAATAAAAACAACATCCGTAAGTTCTAGCCAGATACTGCTGCCTGCTGAAGGCTTTGAACCTGAGGTTCCCTCTTGAAAAGAGATTAGCAAGCATTAGAAGTCCTAACAACTAGTATCAAACTAAGACATTCTCTTTGATGGAGAAAGCTTGAAAAGTAAGGAAGGGGAGTAATTTTCTGTCCCTGAGATTCAAGGTTATTTAAAGCCCGGTTCCCGCATTCCTGCTGCCGCCTTTTCTGCCTCTGGTGGAATGGGTCCCACACTTTGGAAGGTGCTGCTGCAGGAAATCCTCAGGCGTTCCTTGGGAGGAGGCTGCAGGGTAGGGTTCAGGGTGTAGGGGTTTGGTGTCTGCTCCCAGGGCCCTGCCCTGGTCCCATGACCACTGTCACTGTCATTCTCTCAGATGTGTGAGTGCTGGCCTGGCTTCCCTCTCCATGTTCCAGTGGCTTCTTTGCCCTCTCTGGCATCGGAAGGCTCCCAGGTCACTGGCAGTCATGGCTACAAGGGAAGAAATTTTCAGCGCATCCTCTATACCCAGGAAAAACTGGATCCCTGTTATAGATGGGGAAATGGGTTCAAAAGGGTGAAGGGATTTGCCTAGTTTTAACCCCAGGTGGTCTCAATTTCAAAGCCCGTGTTCTGTCTACCTTATAAGAGTTCCTCAACAGGTGCACTCTTGACATTACAGACTGGATGATTTTTTACAGTGAGGCTGTCCTGTGTACTGTAGGACAGCCTCACTGTAACACTGTAGGGTGTTTAACAGCACCCTGGGCCTCTGCCCATTAATGCCAGTAGCCACTTCCCTGTTATGTGACAGCGAAGAAATGTCTCCAGACATTGCTCTGAGGGGCACAATCGCCCAAGATTGCAAACCACTGCACTGCCAATAGGCTGCTTTTGGGATGTCTAAGACTGCCTGGCCTCTCTGAAGGAGAGTGGATAGATGGCTTTTTGATCTGAAGGAGAGTGGATAGATGGCTTTTTGAATGTAGCATGAGAGGCAGAGGTAGAGAGTACAGGAGCTTCTGTGTATGCCTGAAGGTCAGGTAAGGCACTTTTATTTTCTGCTGAAGATTACCCCTCAAGAAACAGGGCTCTTCTATTCAGATCTTTACAAAGTTATTTCCACCTGCTACTAGGGGTCTAATGGATACACTTCTGTGTCCAGTCTCAGAAATTGGCACGTCCGTCCTTCCGGTTGCTCAGCCAGACTCCTTGGAGCTTTTCTGAGGCCCCTGTCGAAGCATCAGCAGGCCCTGCTGCCCTCAGAAGGCGTGGAAGCCTGCCGCGCCTCCCTCTGTTGCTGCTGCACGGTCAGCTCAGCACTCTTCACTGCCTAGCTTTTCACAGTGGCCTTCTAACCCATCACCACGGCCACGCTCACCCTCGTACCCTAGTCTCTACCCCACCGCCAGGATCATCCTTCAAAAATAGGAGGGAGATCCTGCCAGGCTCCTGCTCAGAATCCTCCAGCAGCTCCCTATGACAGGGCCCTTGTGTGGGGTGCAGAGCCCTGCGCAGCCCGGGCCCTCACTTCACCCGGCCTTACCTCCTGCTGCTCACTCCTTTCTTTCCAGCTAAGCCACACTGGGCCCCTTGCTGGTGACCATGCCCACCCGCCTTGGGGACTTTACACCTGGTGTTCACTATGCTGGGAATCCTCTGACCCCACAGACTGCCTGGCTCACGCTTACATCTTCTCAGATGCCACTTGCAGGTCTTCCCTAAACAGCCTTGGCACAAGAGCTCCCCTCCCACATTGTCCACTTTGTTTTTCTTCTCGGCTCACAGAACTACTCATTTAATGAATAAATGGATTACTGAGCACTTCCTTCATTACCTTAGGTGGAACATCAGAGTACACTTTGGGGAGACTCTGGAGCCTCAAATAGCCCCACCCAGTGCTAGTTTTAGATGCTTATAGCAGTAGTCACATAACCCAATTAATTGACCAAAAAAGGATAGGATCTCACAGTTACAAATGTTGGAAATTAATGAGCCCTTTTGGTGATCACTTTTTAAAAAGCAGTGTACTGGGTGGCTCTGTTGTGGATGTCATGGATAGAATCTGTAGGATTAATAAGAAAAAAATGGATTAATGCCAGACCAGGGAGTACTGGTGTCAAGTGACGGCATCACCAGCGATGCAGAAGTGCTCTTCCTCAAACCATTTAGACGGAGTGGAATTGACAGGCTCTGGAAACTGACTCCAGTGATCAGCGTCACTAGTGTGAAAGGTGCAGGTGATGAGATGAAATATGGGCAGTACAGCATTTCCAAATGCATATTTCCTATGTGACTTGAAATACGTACAGCTTACTTGACCGGTGCAATTAGTGGATGTTTGACTGTTTCCTCCAAACCTCCAGAAGTTTCTAAGTCCGAGCCATAATTTTGAGTCTTCACGCTGGAAGGATGGGGCCTTTCCGTTCTGGGATGTGGTGCTCGTAACCTCTCCCTCATTGTGGCCCCCAGAGGGTGCTGCTCTGTGAGTGATCGTGGCTGCTCTGCCCTTCATGTCCCCTCCCTGCCAGTGTCAAGAGGAGCAGGGAGAGGAGATCTCTGGGTCACTGTGTCTGGTGCCTGCTTTCAGATTTTGGAGGCAACATCAATGTGGAGACCATCAGTGCCTTTATTGACGGTGGAGGCAGTGTGCTGGTAGCTGCCAGCTCAGACATTGGTGAGTCCGACCTGGGAGGTTCTGGTGCTTTCCACTTCTCCAGGGAGTTGGAGAGCATTACAAACAGAAGCTGCCAAATTAGCATTCACTGGGTGGGCCTTAGCTGGGGAGTCAGTGAGGGAACTGTTTTATCAGTTCAGATTGTGACTCCTCGGGCAGAATACCACGCTGCTGTCCAGTGGTCCATTTGGGGCTGACAGCCGGATGAAGCTGCAGGGCACTGGGGCTGACTGGCAGAGAGGGAGTCACAATGAAGCCAGGACACTTGGCCCAAGGTCCCCCTGTAAGGGCTCAGCCAGGCGTCTCTTGGGTCTCTGCAGGTGACCCTCTTCGAGAGCTGGGCAGTGAGTGTGGGATCGAGTTTGATGAGGAGAAAACGGCTGTCATTGACCATCACAACTATGACATCTCAGACCTTGGCCAGGTAATCAGGCCTGTCACCCTCCAGGTTTCAGGGACATAAGGCAAAGCTCTGCCTAGCCAAAAACCAAGAGGGCGTGAGGAGGTTCTCCCTGGCTTCAGGAACCTTTTCCTGACCACCCACCTTTCCATCTGCTCTTTGCAGCATACGCTAATCGTGGCTGACACTGAGAACCTGCTGAAGGCCCCAACCATCGTTGGGAAATCATCTCTAAATCCCATCCTCTTTCGAGGTGTTGGGTGAGTGCGCAGGAAGAGACCAGCAGAAACCTAGGGGAATAAGGGGTCACTTAATTTTTTTGGGAAATCAAGCCAAAATTATGATTCTTTGGGGCTATATAGATGGGATTAATGTATTATATTAAGCCAAGGCCAAGTAGAGTGGCTCACACCTGTAATCCCAGCACTTTGGGAAGGCCTAGGCAGGAGGATCACTTGAGGCCAGGAGTTTGAGACCAGCCTGGGCAACATAGTGAGAGCTCCTCTCTTAACACACACAAAAAAACAGTTGGCTGGGCGCAGTGGCTCATGCCTGTAATCCCAGCACTTTGGGAGGCTGAGGCTCAGATCCCCTGAGTTCAGGAGTTCAAGACTAGCCTGGCTAACATGGTAAAACCCTGTCTGTACTAAAAATACAAAAATGAGCTGGGCATGGTGGTGTGCGCCTGTAATCCCAGCTACTTGGGAGGCTGATGCAAGGGAATGTCCTGGACCCGGGAGGCGGAGGTTGCAGTGAGCCAAGATCGTGCCACTGCACTCCAGCCTGAGTGACAGAGTGAGATCTGTCTTCAAAACAAAACAAAAAGTCAAACTCCATTGTTATAGCAAGACAAGAGCTAAGTGGTTGGCAATTAAGACAAAAGGATTCATTCCTGGGAAGAACTGGCTCTCGGGGATCCCGTGTCCTTGGACTCAGTTCCTGGGGCCAGTGCTGGGCTGCTCTCGTCCTGCTACAGGATGGTGGCTGATCCTGATAACCCTTTGGTGTTGGACATCCTGACGGGCTCTTCCACATCTTACTCCTTCTTCCCAGATAAGCCTATCACTCAGGTAAGGGCTTCACAACCTTGAGCCTTCGAAATAAGAATGAAGCAGAACAGCACATTTGGCTGAGGTGGAGGAAGTGACAGGTTGGTGGGGTGGGGCATGAACAGAAGCGGTGTGGCCTCAGCCTTCCCCTTCAGGTAGGGCCAGGGTCGTTTTGGTCTGGCCTGCTGTCCTCTTGCTCGGGAGGCGCGGCAGCTTTTCCCTTACTTGGAACTGCTTGGGTCACAGCCTTGTTTTGTTCCCAGTATCCACATGCGGTGGGGAAGAACACCCTCCTCATTGCTGGGCTCCAGGCCAGGAACAATGCCCGTGTCATCTTCAGCGGCTCCCTCGACTTCTTCAGCGACTCCTTCTTCAACTCAGCAGTGCAGAAGGCAGCACCTGGCTCCCAGAGGTAGCTGCCAGGAGGCTTAGGGGCCGGGGATCCAGGTGGTGCAGTCTGCGTATGTGGGGAGGACTCAGAAGGGGAAGGAGGAGGCTTTTAGCTCAAAGTGTCAGAGGCTGAGTGTTTCAGATGCTGTCAGATTATTTCAGGGCTTTATTGCTATATTGCTGGTATTGGCACTTCCAATTCTTTAAGGTAGTCGTGACATCTAGAGATCCCTAACCTCCCCGTTCCTTTCAGAAAATTGTGTATTTGTTGTGCAAATGACACCCAGAGCAATAACACCCAACCACCCGTATCTTTTCATTTTTTCCTGTGTTCCCTTTAACCATGGGTCCCTAGGTGCCCAAGGCCTACAGGCAGAACTTTGCTAGGGCATTGTCATGGTGGACATGAGTGGTCCTGCCCATCAGGCACCACTGGAAAAAAGGTGGCTCTGGTGCCCCAGCTTCTCCTGTTTCCCTCCTGCAGGTATTCCCAGACAGGCAACTATGAGCTAGCTGTGGCCCTCTCCCGCTGGGTGTTCAAGGAGGAGGGTGTTCTCCGTGTGGGGCCTGTGTCCCATCACCGGGTGGGCGAGACAGCCCCACCCAATGCCTACACTGTCACTGACCTAGTGGTAAGAGATGCTTGGGGTGGGAGGGCCCCAAGGGTTTGCCAAGCTGACTGGGCTCAGCTCAGAAGCACTTATTGAACACTTCTGTGCTGGCCTAAAGGGCATACATAAAGATGAAGAAGTTAATCCTTACACCCGAGCATGCCAGGTTCAATGCAGAGCTTGGCATGAAAACTGATGTCCTAATAGGAGCACTTCTTTTGAAGAGGTATGTGTATTTGCTAAGAGTGGCAGCAGTGGGAGGGGCTTCACTGATTAACTCTGCCCAGAAAGTTGGACTTAATAAGAGAAACGACATTTCGGTTAGGTCATTAGGATGAATTTGTTAGGTGAGAGAAAGCGAATATGGAAGCATGAATGCTTGAAAGTGCCTGGCACATTCCGGGTCAGCAGGTGGTCTGAGTCCAGACTTTGATGGGCCATGAACACCGTGTGAAGGCATTCGAGCCTTCAGAGAAGAGGCAGAGATGCTGTGTTGGGGGATTAACCTTGCTGAGGAGAGAGATTGGTTACTGATCAGGGCCAGGTGGCGGGGCATCTGCAGGTCTTCTGAACTCCTGGGCGTTCCTGCCACGTTCGTCGGGTGGGAATGAAGTGCAGCTCTGCCTGCGGGTGGTGGCACGCCTCCAGTCACGGCCAGCCGTGGCTAACCTGGCCTTTTATCTCAGGAGTACAGCATCGTGATCCAGCAGCTCTCAAATGGGAAATGGGTCCCCTTTGATGGCGATGACATTCAGCTGGAGTTTGTCCGCATCGATCCTTTTGTGAGGACCTTCCTGAAGAAGAAAGGTGAGTGTAGTTCCTGCACAAGGATACTGCCAGAAACGGCCCAGGCCTCACTTGCTCCCGAGGCCCAACCAGGAAACGCTCTGGGAAACCCCTCCCGGTTATTCATGTTGGTTCTTCCGCAGGTGGCAAATACAGCGTTCAGTTCAAGTTGCCCGATGTGTATGGTGTATTCCAGTTTAAAGTGGATTACAACCGGCTAGGCTACACACACCTGTACTCTTCCACTCAGGTAAGCATAGGTGACAGCCCGTTTTCAGCTAGCATGTGTCCTGCCCGGGCTCTGCAGTGGCCAGGTGTTGCTACGTCTGTCCTGCAGGTATCCGTGCGGCCACTCCAGCACACGCAGTATGAGCGCTTCATCCCCTCGGCCTACCCCTACTACACCAGCGCCTTCTCCATGATGCTGGGGCTCTTCATCTTCAGCATCGTCTTCTTGCACATGAAGGAGAAGGAGAAGTCTGACTGAGGGGCCAGAGCCCCGGGACTCTGCACAGCGTGGAGACGGGGCGGGGGTTATTAGGATTCGTGGTTTTATTTTGCTTTGTTTAAAGCCATGGGAGAACGGCACAACTTTACCTCTGCGGGAGATGTAACACTGAGAGCCAACGGGTGGGAGTCGGGATAATTTTTATGTAAGTTTTTCCACTTCGAATTGCTAATTGGCATTTTTCATATGTGCAGTCACTCTCATTTCTAAAATAAAGAGCGACGTCGCCCTCAAATTTCACCTTGCCTCCGTCCTGCTTTGCTAACGGCTGTGGGTGGGGACTGCTGTTTGGTGATGACTGGATACAAAGTCCTAAGTGGCTTCCTGAAATTTTGCCTAGGACTGGACTGTCTTTAACTGTGAAATGATGAGTCTTCCTAACATCTCCTCAAAGGATACAAGAAAGTTGCTGTAGACTGAGGGGTGGGAATCACTGAAATGGAAAATCTAGAATGACAGTGCTGGGGAAGAGAAAACTAGAACAGCTTAGTTGAAGAGAACCTTAACTGCATGTTGACGTTGCTTTATTTAGGCAATAGCTGTGTTCCTAAAAATCATGTATAAAGTTAGACGTGAGATCTCTTCCCCAATGTTGATACCTGCCCACAAAATGTTCTCACCTTCAGAGTGTAAGAATCATTCTTAAAGCCAAATATTCAGTTCAAGGCACATACGTCATCTGCAGTTGTAAATTTGCATTTAATATTTCACAGTTCCTGTAAGAGAGGCTAGTCAGGAGGGAAGCCCTCAAGTGTAAATCCCCACACTTACTGCTCATCAGTCACTTTCGCTACGTGAGATTAATTCAGTAGCTGGTCCAGAACACACAGCTTGGGAATACAGAGGCCCAGGCCTCACGCAGACGTTTCCCACTCCCGTAACTGAATGTGCTGTCTCGTGCTGACCCATGCTGATAGCTGCCTTCATCCAGGTGGCAAATGCAGACATGCTACGCTGCCTCCTTCAAACGAGTTCCTCATGTTAAGGGCAAAGGTCACAGCCAAACTCTGCCACTGACAGCCAGTGCCTTGGCCTGGAGCCTCTATGTGGATGCAGGCCTCCCCCTCCTCAGTTCAGCTTCATCTACTAGACCAGCTTGGCCATTCACTTTTCAGATGTCTGTGAGCACAGGACTGCAGACTGAACTCTGACTCAAGTTCTTCCATTTGCCAAGCCTGAAGCCTTTTCTGGCTAACCAGCCCTCTCTGCACCATCTTGTCTCCTGACTCCCACCCTCACCATTCACAGACCATCACGACACAGCGGATGCCAAGTTCTTTTAGTAATTCACCAGCTCCATGCAGGGACATCACAGGGCTGCCCTCCATGAGCAGAGAAGGAGGGCTGCCTGGCAGAGCGTTTCACACTCCAGGTTAGCCAGAAAGAGCATCTTCATTTTTGTTTCCACACAACACTTCTCTGTGAGCCTGTTGGCCAACAAAGTGGCAGCCGATTGTTGGAGGAGCCAGCCAACCATCTTATCTAACTTCAGATTCTTCAGGGCTAGAATCTGTTCACCCCAGAGGCTTAGATGAAGCACATTTGCAGCTACTCGGGCAGATGGTCTCTGCAACAGGAAGGGAAGCTAAAGTTAGAACATCTGTTAATGCTGTCTCAACCCAAAGCCTGCTTTGTTAGTGAGGGTCTTCCTTTCTCTGGTCCCAACCCAGTTCTTCCTCTACCCCATCTCCTACTGATGCCCTTCACTCAGGTGACAAATACTGCCTGCCCCTCCCCGTGCTCCAAGCTTTTCCACGTGTACACCTCTGCATGGGGTAGCATGCATTGTTTAAACAGCCTTTCCCCCCGGTGGAAAGCCCAGTGCCTCTTGTGCACAGCTATCTGGTCCCTTGTACCAGGTAAGTTGCCTCCTATCATTTCATAACTGGTTGCAGCTGTTATTCTAGCCATCACTGTGCACCAAGATAGCAGGCTACGTACAGAGAGCGGTTAACGGAGTGGCAGAACAGTGCTGGGACGCAGTTATGGCTCAGCTCTTTGCACTAAGCCTGCCCCTGAGCCAGCTGCCACTCCAATTATGGCTTCAGACGGGTCTGCCTATGCATTCCTTTATATTAATTTCACAACGTCCAGATCTGCTCTCAGGAGATGTTTTCCATCTCTCTCTCTCTGATCAGTTCTCAGCTGTTTCCATGAGCTACATCTCCATTAAACGTTTCTCAAAAATACATCCTTTTCTCTCTGAATAGTTTTTTGTTTGTTTGTTTGTTTGTTTTTTTTTTGAGACAGAGTCTTGCACTGTCACCTAGGCCGGAGTGCAGTGGTGTGATCTTGGCTCACTGCAACCTCTGTCTCCCAGGTTCAAGTGATTCTCCTGCTTCAGCCTCCCAAGTAGCTGGAATTACAGGCATGCGCCACGACACCTGGCTAATTTTTGTATTTTTATTACAGATGGGGTTTTACCACATTGACCAGGCTGCTCTGGAACTCCTGGTCCCAAGTGATCTGCCCACCTTGGCCTCCCAAAGTGCTGGGATTATAGGCATGAGCCACCGTGTCTGGCCTCTGAACAACTTTTTAAGCAACTAAAAAGCCACAGGAGTTGAACTGCTGGGATTCTGACTATGATGTGGCTAGCGCTCCTACTCCTATCTACATTAAAATCTGTTTTTTGTTCTCCTGTAACTAGCCTTTACCTTCCTGACACAGAGGATCTGTCACTGTGGCTCTGGCCCAAACCTGACTTTCACTCTGGAACGAGAACAGAGGTTTCCACCCATACCATCCCCTCGAAGCCGGGGACAGCCTCACCTTGCTGACCTCTCGCTGGAGCAGTGCCCTCACCAGCTGTCTCACGTCTGGAGGCACCGACTCGGGCAGTGCAGGTAGCTGAGCCTCCTGGTAGCTGCGGCTCTCAAGGTGGGCCTTGCCCTGGCTGTAGAAGGGATTGACAAGCCCGAAGATTTCATAGGCGATGGCTCCCACTGCCCAGGCATCAGCCTTGCTGTAGTCAATCACTGCCCTGGGGCCAGGACGGGCCGTGGACACCTGTTCAGAAGCAGTGGGTGAGATACCATGCTGCCCGCCTATCTAACCTTTTCATGTCCTGCACGTCACCTGATTGACGGGCTAATCTGAACTCTGTCCCAAGGAGCCCGGAGCTTGAGTGAGCTGTGGCTCAGACTCAGAAGGGGTCTGCTTAGACCGCCTGGTTTATGTGACAGGACTCGCACTGCCCTGGAACATGAGGGAAAGTCGGAGGAAAGCGAAGTGGCAGGGAAAGAACTTGTGCCAAATTATGGTTCAGAAAAGATGGAGGTGTTGGGTGATCACAGGCATCAAGTCTCCTTCTGCACTCTGTGGACGTGTCGGGGAAGGGCTGCCGATGGCGCATAACACGCTCGGGACTCACCTCTGGGGCCATCAGGCAGCCGTTTCCGCCCCGATCCACATACCAGCTGCTGAAGGGCAACTGCAGGCCGATGCTCTCATCAGCCAGGCAGCAGCCAAAATCTGCGATCACCAGCCAGGGGCAGCCGTCTGGGAAGGAGCAAGCAAAGTGACCGATTCTCCTCCCCTCCTTCCCTCCGAGAGGCCCTCCTATGTCCCTACTAAAGCCACCAGCAAGACATGGCTGACAGGGGCTAATGGCTCGGTGTTGGCCCAGGAGGCCAGCAAGGCCTGAGAGCTGATCAGAAGGGCCTGCTGTGTGAACACGGAAATGCCTCCAGGAAGTATGGGCTGCAAAATCCCCAGGCAAAGGACTGTGTAAGAGCGTGGCTCAATTTAAATCATGTTCTTGTAACTGGAGCTGTCCCCAAGACCAAAGGAGCTAGAGCTTGGTTCAAATGATCTACAAGGGCCCTTTATGCCCCAAGAGTCTTTGATTTCAATTTGAAACCCCAAATCCAAACCTAAGAATCAGGTGCATTAAGAATCAATTATTGCCGGGCATGGTGGCCTGTAATCCCAGCACTTTGGGGGGCCAAGGAGGATAAATTACCTGAGGTCAGGAGTTCAAGGTCAGCCTGGCCAACATGGTGAAACCCCCGTCTCTACTAAAAATACAAAAAAAACTAGCCAGGCATGGTGGTGTATGCCTGTAATTCCAGCTACTCGGGGGGCTGAGACAGGAGAATCACTTGAACCTGGGAGGTGGAAGCTTCAGTGAGCTGAGATGGCGCCACTGCACTCCATCCAGCCTGGGCAACAAAGCAAGACTCTGTCTCAATCAATCAATCAATAAGCCAGTTCCTCTAGTCAATTATTTTAAATCTAGATCAAAAAAATGTATCAGATGTATGACTCTCCTTTACAATTTTCCCAGGCAAGTGGCCATTCAGCTTCTACTTGAATGCTTCCAGTGGTGGGCAACTCATTTCCAAAGGCAATTGGGCTTACATTTGGACAGCTTTCATTGTTTGAAAGTTTTATTTACTTATTTTGAGATGGAGCCTCCCTCTGTCACCAGGCTGGAGTGCAGTGGCATAATCTCGGCTCACTACAACCTCCGCCTCCCGCGTTCAAGCTATTCTCCTGCCTCAACCTCCCGAGTAGCTGGGACTACAGGCATGTGCCACCACACCCAGCTAATTTTTGTATTTTTAGTAGAGATGGGGTTTCACCATGTTGGCCAGGATGGTCTCAATCTCTTGACCTAGTGATCCACCTGCCTCGGCCTCTCAAAGTGCTGGGATTACAGGTGTGAGCCACCGCACCCAGCCGAAAATTATTTTTTATAATGAGCTAAAGTCTACTACTCTTTTACTTTATTAATTTTTTTTGACAGGATCTCACTCTGCTGCCCAGGCTGGAGTACAGTGGCACATTCATACCTCACTGCAGACTCTTAACTCCAAGGCTAAAGTGATCCTCTGACCTCAGCCTCCCAAGTAGCTGGGGCTACAGGTGCATGCCACCATGCCTGGCTAACTTTTTTTCTGGCTAATTTAAAACACACACACACACACACACACACACACACACACACACATATATATATATATATTTTTGTTTTGTTTTGTTTTTGTTTTTTTTTTTTGTTTTTGTAGAGAAGGGATCTCACTCTGTTTCCCAGGCTGGTCTCAAACTCCTGGCCTCAAGCAATCCTCCCACCCTAGCCTCCCAAAGTGTTGGGATTACAGGTGTGAGCCACTGTGCCTGGTCTCTTTATTTATCTAGGAAAACTTGCAGCACTGAGGTCC